ATAGGCCCTAAGTAATTAGTCCTAAACCATAAATAGATGTCCAAACTAGTGTATGATCGGGACTTTTAGGCCATCTTTTCGGATAAGGAGGTTCTCTAGATTGTTCAGGTAGATGCCTAGTCTATCTATATCTATAAGGGATAGGAGGAATAGTGTATCCGAGTGGAAAACGTGGAAGGTGAGTGTACCAATCGGGGTCTCTAATATGACCGAACCAGCCGACGATGCTTCTCCAATTCCGAAGCGAACCTTGATCTAGTTGGCTATAGAAGTATCTAGAGTCGCTGAGGGGTCCGAATTTTATAGGGCCAAGAATTAGTTGTGCCCAGCGGTTAATATATAGGCTGCTCCTATATCAATGATTATTCCTATAAAAGTCGTCGTTGTATACCTGGTTTTTGCTATTATGGTTGCGTTATAACTGAACAGCGATTCCTCCTTAGTTCCTATCTAGGGTGTGTTTAGTCCTTAGGCCATAGAGTTCTCCTATTATATATAGGGAGTTTTTGCGAGGGTTTCTAATATAATGTTATTAGAGAGCTTTATTGTGAGTTGTTCCGTAAATCCTGGTGTTAAGGCTCCGTAACCAGTCGTGAAGAGGATTTCATTTTCTAAGTCCGAGTCGTCTTCGGGTCCTATGTTTTTTATGGTTAGGTAGTTATTTAGGAATATATCTATTTCCTTATCGCTCTTATTATCGGGTGTCGGCTCCTGGTTTAGTGGTCCTTCTATATCAGTGATGAATTACTGGTATATGGGTTTATAGCTTCCTTATTGATTTCTTTGAAATTTGCTTTAGAATCGTTCTCGGGCCATATCTCTTTCTTCCTTAGTATGGTTATATAAGATATAGTCTGGTTTATAGTAAACACCACATTTCTTGCTGGTTCCTAGTCTATATTTTGTTCGGGGAGGATTCGTTGATCGTCTAGGTGGTTATTTTATAGGGTTTATGCGCATAAACTTCCTTTCCATAAAGTTTATTATAGGGAGTTCCTCCGCCTAGAATATAGATAGGTTATTGGTAGCAGGCTCCTTATATTTTCTCTTATTTTCCTAGGTGGTTATCGACGTCTATATTCCATTAATAAGTCCCGGGAGGTTCGGTGGTAGGTGTGCTAGGGTTATTCGGCATACTTCAACTCCTTTATATACTAAAATCAATTTTTTGTATAAGTATTCATCTGTTTGCTATAAGGGATTGATTATATATCGGAGCTTATAGAGCTTATTAAGTAGTATCTTGAAGCATTAGTAGAGGCTCTTATCAGGGTTCTTTCGGATGGTTGTTCTAAGGTTTTGGCTATCCTATAGTTGTTTCTGCCTTCTATAGAACTCTGGTCCTTCGAAGAATTCCCTAAGTTTCTCGCACAATTCCGTAAAGGTTCTCTCCTATAGGGAGTTCGTGAAGTAAAACTCTAATACTGGTCCTTTAAGGAAACTACCAAATATATCTATATATAATTATTCTAGGAGTCTCACACATTGGCAGATATCGGTGAAGATCTTGATCTTGAAGTCGAGACTAGTGCTTCCATCATATTTTTGGCTCTCGGATATCGACTTCATAACTATTGTTGTTTACCTTATATAGTTATCTAAGGCAAGGTCGGGAGTAGATCGAGGTGTCCGGGAATAACGACTATTATCTAGGTCGTTGTTTCCTCTTAGAGTACGATTACTCTCATCATCATCATCGTTATCGTCACCTGGATCGTCTCCTAAGTTTCCGGTGTAGGTTGTAGGTGGTACGCCTCTAATTTGGCTTTTACGCATATACTCTTGGTTGTTTAGGACGTTTATATATATATATGGTTCCGGCCGAGGTGATAAGAAAACATGCGAGGTCTAGTTCTAGGTCTTATACTAGGTAGGGGGTATTTCCTTTAGTATTTAGCTTAGCTAGCTAGCTGGATTAACCGGATCTTATAGGCGTTGGGTGGCGGTCGTTCCCTTTAGACCATCTAGTATATTATTCAACTTGTCCTAGAGTGCTAGAGTTCTTATAGCGCCATTGATGTCTTTAAAGGCGTTTTTGATTTCTGCGTCCGTCCATTCATATTCTTCTTCCCTTATAAGGCATTCCGTTAGGGAGTCGGCTAGTTTTGGTGTCCATCTCACATAAACTCCGCGCTAGATAAGTATATGGTATACTAATCGGAGGGTGTTTTGTTCGAGTTTTATAAAGTCCTCCTCGGTCTAGTTCTTGAAGTCTGCTTAGAAGTCGGCCCAGAGTCCGCGGTCCATAACTCCCGTAGTTATATAGTAGGTAAATCGTGTGGTTATATATTCCTCACGCTGATCCTAGTTATATTCCCGTGGGTTAAAACCATTTCTATAGTAGAATCTGATTTTCTCCTCTTATATCATGTTGCCCCATGATTCGTGCGCCTCTTAGTAGGTCTGGTCCCTATCTATATATTCATCGGGGTACCCTTGGCCTCTGCTCTAGTTAAAAGCGGGTGTAGGGCTAGTATATTCTATATATGATCCGGGCATACTTACTTATGTATAGCTGCCCCGAGTGCGTGGTCTATACAACGGTGTTCCGTCCATAATGATGGTGAGTGGATCTGAACTTTCGTCGTCGTCTTATGGGGTCAGGTCTTCTTCCGTGATTAGGGAATAGCGTGCGAATTGCCCTCGGTTATTATACTTTTGTTCATAGTATGCAGATTTGATTAACTATGGTATCTAGTATACTAGTAGTGCCATATAGCTCCTACAGGTGATGCTAGGGGGAGATTAGCTATATTCTAGCGTGGATCCGTGGAGGAGCCGGACAAGTCACAAGTAGAGAAGTTGAACAAGTCACCAGTGGGTTCTGGTGTCCCATAATTCAAAGAGGGGAAGATTTTTAGGGGTTTTTGAGTATCCCCAGTTTTTCCAATACAAAAAGGAAAAGTTTTAGTCGAATGTCCTTCGAAAAGTAGTCATAAAGGAGGTATTGAAAGGTAGAAACTAGGGTGTAGTTTTCTAAATCAAACTTGAAAATTATGTTTTTGGAAGAGTGAATGGGCTTACCGGTGCCAATTCATGCTCTTAACGGTGTTTTATCGTATTTTCTTCGATCGAATTTGGCTTATCGTCGTAACGAGTTTTCGTGGTTTTAAGGATTTTTCACAATAACTTAGTGATATAACCTCCAAGTCTGATTCAGCTCGTCAACTGATCAGTGTCGATCAACTACATTGAAAGGACAGGGTTCACACGTTGCACTATATACACTGGAAAAGGGTATGGTTCGTCCTAGATTCTTAGTATATACGTTGTGCAAAGTGGTGTGAAATGTGTTCGATTCATGTAGCTACTTGAGTTCCTAATATAGTTGTTCCCCCGTGACTCGGGGGTCTGTTTGTTCCGTTCCGGGTTTATGGTATTGCATGATTGCAATATCCATGTTCCGACACTTAGTGCTCCAGTAATCATTGGCATCTTAAATTCCGTGAAGAAGCTTTTAATATCTTCGTCTGTCCATTCGTGGAACTCCTCTTGTTGGGCTACTATGGATAGTAGGGTGTAAATTGCTATTCCTCGACCAAATCGTGGAACAAATACTCTATGCTGAAGTAGATTCGTCCGTAATGCTGTTCGTCTTAGAGGTGCGACTTGCTTAAAGTGTTCTGGTTCCCAGTTTTCGAAAAGGTCGCAGTATGTTGCCCATAGGTTGTAATCTGATGTTCTGTCATCGAAATGCATGTTCTTTTCAACGTAGTCATTTATCTCTCGCTTTGTGGCTGTCGCTAAATCGATTTCCTAATCATAGTCATCGTTGATTGATTGAGCTGATTCAGCGGCTAAAGGTGGTGCAGACATAGTGTAAAGTAGTGTGGGTTTTTCAGAAATGTTAAGATGGTGTAGCAGTATATGAGATAGGTCACTTTTGGGTTTCCTGGATTTTGAATGCAGGGATATGCAAGGTTGGAGGGCGAGGATAAGGGGATTTAAGCGGTCAAGGATATGCAAGTAAGAGAAATAGGATGAGGGGATTTGGGCGGTCAGGGATATGCAAGTATGAGAAAAATGAAGGGATTTGAAAGGAATGGAGGAAAATGAGAGGGAAGTGTGGTAGTGTTTTTCAGTGTTTTTCAGTGTTTTTGGACGTTCTTCATAGACCTTGGGGCTTCTATGAAGTGGGTTCTTAGCAAGATGGTGTAATTCTCGGCGATCGTTCAAGCCTCGAATTATCACGATCTTCTCCTTCGACTAAGATATGGCAAGGACTTAGCGAATCTGGAAAAACAGCTTTTGAAGACTGTTCAACGCGCTCGAGCTTCGTAGATGCGTATTTCCTGATCTGTACGTCTACTGATCAGTGTCGGTTGACTAGGTTATTACCGAAGCAGACAGCTATTGATATCGTTTCTATACGTATATAATAGGTGTATGCATATTGGGTAAAAGTGAAATGTCATTCAAAAATGCTCAGGTGAAAGAAGATATAGTAGCTGCCATGCCAAGATCACATGATCTTGGTATGTCAGCTGATATTCGTTCCAACACTGATATACTGTTCAAGAGGCTCACTTATATGATTGAAGAAATTCTTAATACATAGGCACCTTCGTGCAAGCCGGAAAGGGCGCAGTTTGAATTTCTGAATATACCCCTGGGCACGATCTTGAATCTTTACAGTTAGTATCTTCAATCAATTAATATTAATTGGAAGGGAAGATGAGAACATTGAATCCTCAAATGCAGTCGTTAAAATAAAATTATTTGAACTTCAAGCCAGTATCCACATCCCGTGCGACTTCGGGAGGCCAACATTCATGATTCATATTCATTCCGAGATCGCAATGAGAGCCTTGGGAAACAGCCATGTTTATTTTTAATCAAGTCATGAAAAACCTCCTATCCGATATGCAAATACAAATCCAACGCTGACAGCCTATAGTACTTCAATGAGACCGAGAACCTCCCATCTCAAATCCAAACCCGAAATGTGGTATCATCAAAAAACATGAGAAATCAGATCAAAATAATTTTGAATATACATATCAAGAAGCCGGTGTTGACGCCGATGCTGACGCCGACTGAGATCCCTCTTGGAAAACAGGTTGGTTCATGCGAGCAAAAGCTTCTTCAATGTTCATAGGACCAACACCCCGAACAAGAATAGTACCAGAATTAGGAGATTTGGGGCCCTGAGGAGTCCCCTCATCATCTACACCGATCTCAGGTGGGACAGTCCCATGCCCTATAATGATTTCCTCGCCCTCGGCGGCAGGGACCCAGTCCGGTGCATCGAGAGGACCCTCAAATCCAGCGGGAGGCAAGCCCCAGTTCGGCATTTTACTACGATATCCCCACTCACCGTCGCGGTCAGCATAGGCCACTGCGTGGAGGAATATACCTAGCTCGTGGATGCCCGGGTCTGAGTAGAGCTCTGTGCCGCAGACATCGCATACTTCACCTGATAGTCGCTCTCCCTTGCGTTTCTCGTAGTCTGCCGCGGCAGCTTCCTGCTCGCGAGACATGATCTGCGCAAGGATGGACGGGTCAGTGTCTGGTGGGAGGTTTGGCGCAGCAGTCAGGTGAGTACGGTATGAGACTGTATCAGGAAGTTCAGTCTTGCCCATGTGGTTCAGTCGATCCATAATCTCTTCATCACGTTCTCCATGGGCCTCATGGCGGGCGAGGTTTGGTCCGAAAACGCGACGGTTGGAGTAGATCGGGTCGTTGGTAATCGGATGGCCCAGGAACTGGAGGTGAACTCGAATTTGGTGGGTACGCCCGGTAAGAGGGAAGCAGTGAACAATACTGTATCCCTCAGTCTCATTGGAGAGCACCGGTGGAGGAGTTGCGGGGCGACCATCTTCGCCTACAGCCGAAGAGACTTCCGGTTCAGTTGGAGGGTAATAAGCCAGACGACGGAATTTCGTCGTGGCCTCTTTGCCCGTAGCTCGCACACGGTTCAACCCCAACTTCGGACTGACTTGCATAATAGGCTGGTCACAGACTACGACGCCATCGGGGAAATACCCCTTAACGCGAGCGATATATTCTTTTTGCACGGAGCGCTCCTGGAGCTGTCTTGACATTTTCTCTGCGCCCTTGGGATGTTTTCCAATAAACATGATTCCGGATGTCAATCGATCAAGCCGATTGCAGGGCCGAGGAACAAATCCATTTCCACGCATTGAGCGAAGAATTTCAATGACAGAGTTGAAGTTATATCGGCCGGCTGCGTGAACAGGGACTCCAGCCGGTTTGTCAATGACTATAATGTCCTCGTCTTCATGTATAATACCGACTGGGAGGGAGGTGACTGCAGGTTCATGGCGATGAAGAGTGTGCGAGATAACCTGACCGTTCTTGATGACGGTGTCCCGACCGGCTACCTGTCCGTTGACAACAACGAGGCCAGAGTCGAGTGCTTTTCTCTGGTAGAGGATTAGAATAATGAGGCTATTTAAGGAAAATTCTAAGGGAATCGTACATAGTACTCTGGTTTGCGGTCTCGGAACTCAGAGGTGAAAATGTCTTCTAGTGTTCTACCCCTCCATCGCTCCTTACAATACGTGTTGTACGTGTAGTGGTATGGAGCAACTCGGCGGAAGCCACCTTCCATGTAGTATGGCGCCGGCCATGGGTCGCTGGGAGTGATAATGACATCCGGGGGCTGTTCAATAGGATCGGAGGCAGGCACTTGGAGGGTGGTGTCGACACTGACGAGGGCCATTGTGGGCGGCGGAGGCAGTTGATATCTGCCTTTCCGCAACAGGTAGGCCGTAATTCGTGCCGAGGGAGCCAGGGAGAACTGCAAAAAGTTGAAGGGCGATCTTCAACTGTAGGCTGGAATTGGGTGGTGGACAACAAACTTCGGGAGGAAAAAAATTGGATAAAGATCGGCCTTATCGCCAGTTATCGTCGGTTATCGCCAGGTACAATTCCATCGCGGAGAATCAGTGGGTACATCCCGCACTATAAAGAGTCCATTCGAGTGGTAAAGAATAATCTCTGGGTCCCAAAGTATCAGCTTTAGAATTAATCTATTTCCTCTTTTTACGAGCGATTGATCTTCAATTTGCAGATCGTAATGATATCGGCTTACCTAATCAATAAGAGACCTGAGACCTCGGCCTAGCAAGCTTGTCCGAGTCGAGATCTAGAGAGATCTCAAAGAGCATACATACCACTTTTATAACTTCTTTGAAGTAATATCACAGACTAAATAGTACAGCTATATGGCGCCTCCTGAGTACGAGTCAAAGAAGCAGCGAAAGCGCAGCGACTATGGCTACCACCAAACACATCAAACAAGATGGTAAACTATGGCATCCACACTTGGAAATAAAAAACTTACAGCCACCAGGTTCGATAATGACATGTACGCGCATCTAAATAATACAGTCTACACCGCTCTATTCGACACGATTGCCAATTCTTACCTGATAGAGCAATGTGGAATGAATCCCTTCAGCGTGAACAACCCCACACCGAAGGACTCTACCGAAAAGCCCTCAGCATCTGCAACAAAGCAGATTGGACTATTAGTCTCTGCACACGCGGACTTCTTTGCTTCAGTCGCGTTTCCAGATATCCTTGATGTTGGGCTACGAGTTGCAAAACTGGGAAGTTCGAGCGTTACCTGGGAGGTTGGTGTATTCCTCAAGGGTGAGGATGATGTCAAGATGGTTGGGGTGTACACGCATGTTTTCGTCTTGCGGGAGACTATGCGTGTTGGCGCAGGTGGTATGGAGGATCGAGTACGGCGTGGATTGGAGAAATTACTTAGTGGACCGAATGCGCAGTTGTGATTTTAGCCGTCCATGTTGATGCGGCGTTCCCGAAGTAACTACCTAGGTAGGTACACGTATGCCGCTTGAGCATGGGAATGAGTGTGTAATTGGCATTGGCATTGGCATTAGTACGGTTAAGCGCAGCTAGACTTGGCATACACAGGGGTTGATAATCAGTGTAATCGGATTCCTTATCGGGTTTCATATTCAACAATAATTCTAACCTAACTTGAGCCTCAAATGCAGCCGAGAGTGCGCGTTTAACCTTCTACCTATGCGCCATCATAAATAATCCAAAATTGTAGAAAACCAAATCTAATGCCGAATCTATCCTTGTATGCCCCAAATCAAAACCATCGCACAAAATACAAGAAAAAATAACTTTTGATAACTAACGGATAACCACGCTTGAACGCTTCTCACAATTAAAATCAATGTGCGGTGAGAACAACTGTAATTATCAATCATGTATATCACATTCGCTCCAATTTGCCCGCGACGACACTGCTGCAGCGAGATACATTGGAACTGGTGGGCGGTGAGGCACCACGGTGCATGGTTTCACCGTCCTCGTCGAGCCACCACTTAGGGTAAGGGCCAGGGATGAAACTACCCCTGGCATCCCAGCCGGCTACCCAGTGGACGCCGTCATCAAGGAGGAAAAAGCGAAGCTTCTCTACAGGAGAACCTTTGTGCAGCGGAGCCGAGAACCAGCGGCAACGCTCCTCGAGTTCAGTCTCGAACATGTAGCGATGAAGGATTCGGCAGTAGACCAGCGCAGCGGGGACTTTTTCTTTTTCATTGCATCCGTCGCGTTGGACGAGATGCCAGCCACGGCCTGGGAGGAACTTGTAAGTCCCAGGGACGGGAGAATCCCAGTGTTGCTCCCTGTTGACGCGGCCGTCGATGCGATTGCCACGCTGGAACCAGTACTGAGGGCAACACACAGCGCGTAGGCAGATGAAGAGGTTGGGAGACATGTTGGAAGTATGTATAAGGGATGTGCAGATATGGTTGTATCGATATGACGAACAAATTATCGTCTGAAGGTTAAGTAATTGGAACAACGCTGAAAGGCAGACGTAAATTCTGAAAAGATATCCCAGGAGGACGGCAATGTTATAGAAGGATATCCATCTTCAAAAAAGTCGAGATCAAAAAGTCGAAATCGAGATGGGAATCGACAGGTTCTTCGGCTTCTTAGGAGCTCGGTGAAGATCCCTGGAGGAAGAGATTGGGCTCTCTTTTAAACACAAAGAATATGATAAGACACCTGCAGAAGCCACAGATCTAGATCCGAGGTAAGGAATAATTCGGAGTAATAGGCACCAGCCAAGGAATAGGAGGTTGTTATCGTTGCGGTGAAGAGAGGTTCAAAGCTCCAAGATTATGAGTCGGGAAAACTCGTAATGAGCTTGCAGCTCTCGGGAAACCGGACTCTGGGGACCACAACCCTTCAATTTAGGGGAAGACGGGGGAGGTTTGAGGATGGGGGGCGCGAATCAAAAGATGCTATCACAAAATGGGCTAAAATGATGTGTGTAGAAATCGGACACTCGCAGCAGAGATACGCGCAGAAGGAGCCGCTGTTATTGTGCGAATGTAGGGCATGGGAGCAATGAGAGATTTGACTGGATGATTGACATAGTGTGTGTGTGGTGCGTGCCTAATATAGGGGTGTGAAAGAAAACAAGAAAAAGGGTTGTGTGAGAAGGTGTTTTGGGGCGGTCAAACGGCAAAGCCCCAGTTGCCACTTCCCCGTCTCTTCCGATGACAAACTTTTCTCTTTATCCACTTGAAATGAAGGATGATTTTGGTTTGCTTCGTGTTCATTGTTGACATCGTTTTTATCTCTTCTATTACAGCTTGTTTCCTTTTTTTTTTTTTTTTTTTTGGGGTTTTTTTCTTTCACTTTCCGTTTCTAACCATTTTGTCTCACTACTCTCACTTCTCGTATTCTTGCTAATGCTACCTACCAACTTCCTCATCTCATCGATTCTGATATAAGCTGTGGCGCAGGTTACACCATTTTCAGCCTTACAACTACTTAGCTTAGTAGGGAGCTTTCATTCCTTCAGCTCCGTAGACTGTCATCTGACACACCAATTCTTAGTGCGGTCACGGATAAATCTGTGGGGTGGTAGCCATCGTACCACCATTATGTTACTCCCCCTATTTCGTGGCTCGTGGCTTCGAATCGTCTAGAAGTAAATTTCTTCGCAATTCAGCTCTTTCCTTCCATAATTAAGAAGTGTTGTTAAGCCACTTTGTTTATATCGGCAAATCAACCTCGGGTGGCTGAGCTAGCCCTAGGTCTGCCAAGACAACACAATCTACGTCATTGGTTCAATAGTACCTCACCAAAAGAGTAAATAGGTTAGTGTGGAGTGCTTCCTGATCCCAGCGCTCCTAGAATCATTAAGATCACTACACCCTAGTTCTGCGCCACGCAGTGTGGCGTGCCGAGGAAGAGAGCGATGACTACGGAGGTCCATTTCAAAAGTTTTTGCTTTTTTTCGTATTTTTGTAGATTACTAGCTTGGTTTTAGTCAATACACACTTACCCTCATTCTACTCGATTCCAAGATTTCATTCTTGTTTACCTTCGTCAAAATGGGAAAATACGATATTGCTACGCATTCAAGTGTTATTGTTATGAAAGTGTCGCTCGCTTTAGCGGGTGTAGCTAGCTAGTCGCCGATACCTGAGAACGGGGTTTTACTGCAGTAAGATGATATGGAGTTTACTGTAGTGAATAAGGATTGGTGAGCTTCAACGAACCGCTACTCAACACCGTAGAAAATCCACCAAGTGTAGTGGATGCTACGATACTGAATGCTGCGATTGTTGTGAAGTCTGCTTTTTCATTGATGAAAGAACTAGCTACTTATAGTATATGGGTGCTCTTCTGTCTCGGACGAATGTTGACATTCGTCCAGGACAGAAGAGACGGTGAAGACGGCACATTACTGTCGCGAATACACATCGCTCAAGGGTGTCGTTTGCGATGAATGCATATCGTTCAAGGATGCCGTGATATACTAATCTAGTTCCAGAGTCACTGTCTTGGCAGAAGCATTTCGGCCGAAATACTTCCCGTTTGTTGATGGCCTTGTTTCTCGGCTGTCGCAACAGAAAGCGCTAGGGATAGAACCCCTTCAAATCTCTGCAATAACTGATATACCTACTCGAATTTTTCATTCGATCTGGGATAAAGCTATTAAGCGTAGATTTGACCCTTACAGCGACCTTTAATAGTCACTGATGCGTATGTTGCTGATGCTAGTCGTTCTGGTCGGCCAAAGAAGCAGACACCTGAGGTTATAGATTCAGCGCTAGCTAAGTACGGAGTTAGAACCTAAGCTACGTGAAGCTTAGGAGCTTGAAAATGGTATGTGACGGCTTAATCTTCGACGAAACCTGCCTGGGAAGAAGCTTAATTGGCGCTTCACATCGAAAACTGGAAAGCTTTCACGCACTAAGTCGAAAGGTGGAATCGACTGGTATCGCTATAACACTACTATTTTGGTGCCAAAACTACTTCCTTTTGCGAAAAAAATGTATGGTTGAAGGCCTAATACTCTTGTTCAAGAAGATAAAGCTCCTTCCCATGCGCATCATTTTCAACAACATATCTTTGATATATCTGGTGTTCAACGTATTCTTTGGCCAGGAAAATAAAATCGCCTGATTTGAATGCTATTGAGCCAACATGGTTCTTCTTGAAACGCCAAACTACTAAGAAAGGTGCACCTAAGTCAAGAGCTGAAGCAATTAGAGTATGGGGTGAAGCATGGAATCAACTACCCCAGGAACGGATTCAGCAGTGAATTGAGCGGATACCGAGACATATTGAAGAGATTATTCGCTTGGAAGGAGGTAATGAGTATAAGGAGGGCAGAGATCATACAAAACACTAGATCAAATCATACAAGATATTACTGTCAATAAAACAGCTAGTCTTAATTCGGTATAGTACAAAAAAAGCAAGACTGCAAAAACTTTTGAAATGGACCTCCGTAGATGCCCCAGATCTCAAGTATTCGTACCATTTCGTCTAAGGACGAAGGCCTAGAGATAAATAAGATGGTAAAAAGTTGGAAAAAAAGTAATGGTGAGATGATTCTCCGATAGGGGGAATCGAACCCCCGGCTGCCGTGTGAGAGACGGCGATGTTAGCCACTACACCATATCGGATATTAGATATCAGTCGCCCTATTGAGTTTAATATTATGCATCTTGACTTAACGTCATGAGTCTATAGTTTCCTGTGCGTGGTTCTATAAAGTCCCTCATTTCCCCTCCAACTTTTCTTTTTATTTTACTCTTCTCATCTCCCTTCCACTCCACCTGTTAAGGTATTTTGGCTATTGAACCGACTCAGCTAATCCATGATCGCTAGTCAAGCCAACCTATGTAGTGAGTCCATTCCCATTCTCAGCCTTCTGGCGGCTCCCAATCTAGTCCCTCTTGTTGTATCCCACGCCGTTACATTATCTTTAGCTATTTTTAAGGAATAATATATAGATATAACTGTCGCTCAAAAGGGCGATATTCGAACATTTAACTGAGAATAGCGTTCGAGTTCTTACTGCAGTAAAAGGGAATTGAAGTTTACTGCAGTAAGCGAGGAGTTGGTAAGCTTCAACGAACCACTACTCAACACCTTAGAAAATCCACCAAGTGTAGTGGATGCTACAATACTGAATGCTGTGGTTGTTGTGAAGTCTGTCTTTTCATTGATGGAGAGAACTAGCTACTTATAATATATGGGTGCTCCTCTGTCCTGGACGAATGTCAACATTCGTCCGAGACAGAAGAGACGGTGAAGACGGGACATTACTGTCGCGAATGCACATCGCTCAAGGGTGTCGTTTGCGATGAATGCATATCGTTCAAGGATGCCGTGATATACTAATCTAGTTCCAGAGTCACTGTCTTGGCAGAAGCTTTTCGGCCAAAATACTTTCCGTATGTTGATGGTCTTGTTTCTCGGCTGTTACAACAATAATCTTAGTAATTATCGTTAGATTTATAAATAATTATCTATTTATTCCTATTTCTAATATAATAAAAGCTAAAGACTTCGCTAAAATTATCTATAAATATTAGACCTGTACATGGGTTGGGTTTTATAGAGGTCAACCCTGTTAACTATAGTTACAGGCGGTCGGTTTATATTTCTGGGTTACAGTACCATACCTTTTTTCGCGGTGGCACTTAATATCCTCCGTACCAGCTGGCAGAATCCAGAATCGTCACATCACCCCCTCTTTAAACTCGGTTTCGTCCCGAAATCATCAGCCAGCGAGCATTGAAGACAGCTAACAGCTACTCAATACTTCCCACCCACAACTGACCAATGGACTATAAGCACCCCTGCCTGACCAGTCGGATCAGGGAGTCACGGTCAATGCTTCCAGTCTCTGGCTATTGATGGATGATGAGTGGTTGAAAAATCAATGGATATGTGTTCTAACTATGCTGTGGCGATAAACTATCCCGCTGAAGGCACCTGCTGACTCATCCACTCATCTCTCCTTCCCGATCCCTGCCTCCTCAGCATCCTTACAGTTCCTTCGCAATAGAACATCTGCCAACCGAATATCTTAGACATGTTCCCCTTCTTAGATTTTTAGGAATCCAGATTATTTCGTAGAATCTATCGTGATCCCTCCATAAACCCAAACTTCAGTCCATGCCTCCTATAGATATTCCATTCTCCCGTGAAGTCCTTGTATCAGTCGCTTTCAATCAGATCTCGGTTCAAGGCCCTTAATCAGGTTCAGGCGGAGAAGCTAGCTCCAGTTCTTGGTTCGTGGGTAGCATATTATGCGTACTCATTTAAGAATCAAGGGTCTCTTTTTGACGAAGGAAAGAGTAAACGAAGAAAAGGAAGAACTTGAAATAATGTAACGAACCTACGATGTACTAAATGAATAGCAATAATCGGTGTGCGCTGCCATAGCTCAGATAGATCAAGGCATTGTATCCTCGAATCCGGACTGAACCCCAGAGGATGTGAATTGGTGAGGACACAGAAGTGGCGCATAGCAAATAGAAGTACCTAGCGATATGCTGACCAGAACCCAAAGTCTCTCGGGCCCTCCTTTTGTACGAAATCGTTCTCTGAAGACTGAATTTTGAACTTCATATGTGGAGGGACGTAATATCTTCTCAAGTTTTGACGAATGGTACCTTTGAAATTTCCTGGAAGAGTGGTCATGACTTTTAAATGTTTGGTGTTTTCAAGAAACGTTCGAAGAGAGGGGATAATCTTTGGAAAACTCAAGGCCGCATTTGATAGCTCAACCCGTACATTTGCATCATCCACAAATGGAAATGCCATATTTTCTTGGAAAATATCTATGATATATCAAAAGTCTGCTGCCGATAACTGAGGGCATCGCCCTTCTGGTATGGCTCGGCACGAATATTCGCATATTTATATACTAAACCTAGCATATCGTCTCATTTTTGTCTTGATTTATCTTCAGATAAACAGTTTACCCAAATTTAATACCATCATTCAGTCTTGCTCTTTACTTCGTATCTCAGTTCATCTGATTTTTTTTTCGTTAATTTATCTCTGCCCAACCTATGTATATATGTATAGTAATGACTAACTCCCACCAAGACCTCCGGCGGCGAGTCGCGAACTAGAACAAGGACGCTGTCACTGGGGAAAAGACTACCCGGCGACACTACAGTCCAGAACTCGGATAGGGGAGTGGGTCCTGAATACATCTCAGGATACGGGTCCGAAGTAATACGGTAACCGCTACTTCAGATACAAAACACCAGACATCAAATAAACATCAGAAGGGTGGCGAATTCCAAAATCCTAGGAGCCATTGAGGTGACTCTTCTCCTCCGCAGTATCTGATAGTAGCGAAAATATTAGTCTCCATATATGCTCATTAGAGCATTGAAATCCTTGTCCTTTAGCAGCTCCGCAGCCGTTAAGCGATCTTCAGGCAAATATGTAAACACTTTTTGAAATACCAAGAGCGCCAACTCTCGCTCGGCAGTGCCAACCTCAGGCCGCATTTGTTCGATCTTAGCCCCAAGAGCGCTTAGTCTTTGTGGTTGATCATATAAATACCAACGGTCTTCGAAGGTACCTCCTGCATTATACTTGCCAGCCCATTGTAAAGGTAGAGGGCCGATGAAGTCTGTCAAACGGGATAGTACTGTGATTGCGTTGCCCATAAATGGAACTTGGCCAAGGTAAAACTGTGCATATGTCGCTAGTAAAGCTAGGGCCTATACCATGGAATCGCTCAGGAGCGCATAAAATGGCAGGTGACTGACACTTGCACTTGACTAGAGACTCCTTTTTGATCGATAACCCAAAATTGGAAAGGAAGATAGCTCCTGTCCACAATCTTTTATTCACCTCCACTAGCATGACCAGCTCTCCAGTTTTCCCAAGCTCTTCGCTCAATGGCACTCTTCGGGGGCGGCCAAATTCTCGATAGATCATTTCCTGGGTATAGTTATTAATGGCGCCAATATCCCATAGCACAGTCCCGTTATTCAAGTCTATGTATGTTATATTAGCTCTTGGGGGTATTCCGTGCGGGACTTCACAGCCATGAGTAATGGTCTTGCGGCGCTCATCCTTGTCTGTACCGGCACCGATAGGTAGTATTGAGGACTCGGACCCTGTACAGGATAAACAATCACTAGATGTGTACCTTTTGGACCAGGAAGCCCAAAACAGTCAAGAAAAGTCGAAATTCGGGATACATCTTCGACTGTACGAAGAACTTCCTTTTGCATGGTCAGCTCCTGATCTCCCAAATCGCCAGGAACACCAATCTTCAGCGCAACCATCGAGTGTGTTTTAAGATCTTGTGCCATCCAGACTGTTGAAACCCCTCCCCCCATCCTAGTTTATGCACAACACGATAAGTATCAACCAGGATTTCCCCAATATGTATAGGATAGTAAGTCCCATCTGTGTATCTCTGGGTGGGCTCAGAAGCATCCGGGGTTTCAATTTCCTCGTCTGAGTCCACAATGCTTCCGTAGTCATTCTGGCTCTTGTCTCCAGCACAATTCACGGAAGAAATTTGGAAATTCAGCGAGATTGTGTGGCTCGAGTTCGAGTCCAAATTCATCATGGTGGCATTGAACCATCAGCGTGACGGTTAATTATCTAACTCTCAATTTCTGAAAAGGGGTGGATAGCGCTTTGCTTTGTAAACGCATCAGTTGGAGGGACTTAGAAACGAAAGGTGCTTCAGCCAGTCCGCTGCTGATAACTACATTATTGATTAGTCATGTCATGGGCCCCTTTGGCTATTTGTAGGTGTGAGGGTGGCTGGTGAGAAACGAGCGGCTAGGCCCACTCAGAACTAGGTGTGAGGGCTGTAGACCCAGGGAGGAGATCTAAAGGAAACTGCCTACCGAAGGAGGCAGGCTGGATTAGACAGAGGAAATCTGAACTAGAACAATGAATTTTGATGCTATGGGAAAACCTTTTTCTTGGGACATGGGAATTGTATTTTTATGAGGAAGTTGCTATATATGGGCCTATCACCTGAGCTAGGGCGGTGCTAGGAGGGAACACCACGATTTTCCTATAACAATGCTACGCACAATGATAGCGATTCCTTCGTCCCACTGAGTTACACCATATCGGATATTATTTATTAGTCATGTACTTAAGTTTATTCTTAACCCTTCCGGTCTAGCGCTATGAGTCTCTGTAGCTCCACGCGCGTCTATAGAAGTCATTTCCCCTCTAAGGCTACGAGTAGAGCTAGAGAAGGGACTCATCCAATTTTTCCCATTTACAAAAGAGTTGGTCGTCGCGTTGTATTAGGACGCCGCAGAGTTATTTTAATAAAGAGTTTGAGCAGCCTGCTTCTTTTGCGGAACATCAAGGAGGGCCATCATAGCGATATTGCCGCGGGTAACATCGTAAGTAGAAACAGAGGGATGGAGAGGAAAATAGGGATAAAGACAGATTGATTGCCAAGAAGAAACGGAAAATCAGCAAACACAACGTCGATAATAGGATCACTCCGCAGAGAATCGTGCTGTATCCAGAAAATTATTTTGTGAAAGATTCGACCCAGAGGAAATTAATGGCATATATGAGCCCATCGCCGAATCGCTTCCAATGTGTTCATGTTGGGCCCAAACATCATAATGTCATAGCTTCCCTTAAAATGACTTTCTGTCGGGTTGGTCGGCTTACGGGGCGATGTGTTTTTATTTTGGTACCCCTCTGGCTGGTCCTCTGGCTGGTCCTCTTGCGTTGGTCTTTTACGCTTCTTAGAGGACTCTTCTCCACTATCGTTATTTGACTTCCCTCCATTTTCATCGACGTCGACTTCTGATGCGAAGTAGGCCATGTAAAGGCTTTGTAGCTCACGCACCACGGATGCATGCTTATATATAAAGGATGAAGCGCTCATTGTCGCCGTAAAGGCATGTCGGAATGTGGCCATTGGTGCTCCTGGCCATTGCAAAGGCTTCATATCCGTGATCTTGTCTTGATCTACAAAAAACGGTGCGATGTAGTTGGTGAGAAAAAATCCTCCGGTAAAGTCCATATGCTCCTGCGTTATTGTCTGTGTAAAATTCGGGGTATTCATTCTGACAGTGGGTGGCATATTGTGCCGTCGTGGAACATCCCGTGCATTTCCAGTCTGCTTTCGCATTTCTTGGTTTTTGGCCTCGAAGTTGATGAAGTATTGTATATCCATTGGCACAATGACTAATCCCGGTGATGAAATTCTATCGTATTCACAGTGGCATGTTGGACAAAGGGGCATCGCGTTATAAACCGATCGTGGCTGGTAGTTAACTAAACCGTGAGTGGTCCAGTTTATGATCTGTATTATCCATACACATCAGATTGACTAAAGCGGCAAATGAGCAGAGCAACAACTTACCTCTCCGTCCTTTTTACCAAATACATGCGCGGTTTAAGGATTCGGAGTTCCGCAGACCCAGCAATAATCGCCACAAATTGTTCGGATTTCCTGGTGAACATCGGCGGAAAATGCTCCGGATGACGCCGTCATTGCTGGTGTCACAGATCTTGGTGGTAATGTCCCCATTGCGAAGCGCACTTTCTTCGGGCTTTTTTGCTGCGACATGATTAGAGCCTTTGCAGATAGCCGGGATATGTATGGAGGGACTTACAAGTTAGAATACCGGCTGTCACGGTTTAATAAAATCGGTCCTTCCTCGAAAATCTTAGTTGTTGAGGCAGTCGCGAAGCCGATATACGTCAGAATAGTATCAAAGCGGCAAAAAACGCTTTATCGCCACACCGCCTTATACGCTTTTCTCTTGAGCACACCGCTTTAGGCTTAGGATGTTGCTATCTGGTGAGCCATGTGACCCACTAGCGTCCGATCTTGTATTTAAATCCCCACACTCGACCCACCCGTTCTGAGTTTCCTTAAGAATTTGAATGAACCTCATTCGGCTCTACCTGATATAATCTATCCGTAGCTTAGCTGTTCACAGTAGAGTGCGCCGTCACCGTCTGACTTCTTGTCATGATCTCAAATACTCTCGGCATAAGTGACTGTCGATACCACTAGACCAAAGTGGGACACAGGACCAATGAGAATGGTTACGATGCTGTTGGTCCGACATGAAGTGAATCTAGAGAGTTTTATCTATTTAGTTACAAGATTGAAGAACACACCTCTTACAACTCGCAACAATACATTTACATAGTAGATGCATATGCACCAGTAAGACGCGTCAGTATTCCGACAGTGACCTCTTCGTGTCGTATCTCGTTGCTGATTCGGACTACAAAGTTCGATGACTGCTTTCAGGGCTTCTTCCACATCTTGAAGTTGTATAATTCTCTGTATTTACTTGAGAATGAGTATATTCTCCGAACTACTGAATATATCATAGGTCGTTGAGTTCTTAAAATGAGCGAAGCGTATCTCTCACTCTTGCCAGGAAGCTATCACGGCAACACCAGCCGCTTAAGCGTTTCCACATATAATCAGTTTCGATACGCTTGCTCCAATTGGCGTGTTTCTTCGCTCGGACTCTGAGTGATATTGCGATTAAGCTATCGCCTGAGAGCTCCCTTCGCAGAGCGCCAGGGATGGCCAGCACTTCTGTAATCAACAGTCAGTACAAATTGGTCATCAGTGAACCTTTACAGAATAGTCGGAAGTGGAAGAGAGATGACCTTAGATATTACGAGTAATTACACGCTATGGTGTTAATGGAAGTGGCGTATCAATCCCTGAGCAACAGGATACTAAATCAGGAGATAATTAGTCGCATACACAATAAATCTTAGCTTATAAAGGATGTCTGTCGCTTTATTGGAGGATATTTCCTTCATCCCTCAAAGATGTACTTGCCGTCAAGAATCCACTTGACGTTCGACTCGACCAGAGCCGGGACGCTACATTAGGCGTCGTCTTCTAATAGGGCGCCACCAGCTCTGGATTCATAGAAGAGAGAGCCTAGTTATTGTGCGAAATTACTCTAATAGACATGCATTATATTAGCATATATAGTGACGTGATATTTCTGTAGAATATAATTGAACGTTCCTTTCCTGCTCCTATAACCCCAACAACTTGAATCCTTCGTCAAGAAAGCTGCGGCTCCGAAGTCATCCTGGGCAGATATAGGAAGAAAAGGAGAGTATCTAATGTGATGTAGCTATTGTACCAGGAGAGGCCGGATCGAGCGTCCGTTTTGCCTAGAGGAACTCAGGAACTACTTCGTAAGTAACAAAAATTTCTTTCTCCGCCCCTTTCTCCCTTTGAAACACATGACCATCATAGGTGCACTGACTACGATTGTGGATCTTCCATACTAGATTGCCATAGCTATGATTTCCTTTAGAAAAAAGGCCTTCTTAATACTTTTTTATTAGCTTATATCCTTGAGATCTATTTATTCAAATTTTGTTACATGTTAATATACAATATGTTGTGTGGTGGGATATTTCAATATTGTTGCGACAGCCGAGAAACAAGGCCATCAACAGACGGAAAGTATTTCGGCCGAAAAAGCTTCTGCCAAGACAGTGACTCTGGAACTAGATTAGTATATCACGGCATCCTTGAACGATATGCATTCATCGCAAACGACACCCTTGAGCGATGTGTATTCGCGACAGTAATGTCCCGTCTTCACCATCTCTTCTGTCTCGGACGAATGTTGACATTCGTCCAGGGCAGAGGGGCACCCATATACTATAAGTAGCTAGTCCTTTCATCAATGAAAAAGCAGACTTCACAACAACTGCAATATTCAACTAGTAGGAGTCCACTACCAGATCGGTGGATTGTCTACGGTGTTGAGTAGCGGTTCGTTGGAGCTCACTGTTCTCAGTAACGAGCGACTAGCTAGCTACGCTCGCTAAGCAAGCGACAAATATGAAATACTACATGAAGCTGCTAGAGGGTGAAAAACAATCTACTTCGGTGGAAAAAGTCGTGGGGATGCGACAGCTAATTTTTCGAAGGTCCATGGGTCAACGGGTCGACCCGCTGCCGCTGACCCATAAAGAATTTCCACAAGCCTTTGAGCCAATGATATTAAGATTATATTAGATATTTAACTCATTTTCCTTAAGACCAATCAAATAATCGTGTCGCCGCACCCAGACTGTTGCTGAAGCAAAATCACCGGTTACTCATATATCCGGCTAACGGACGAAAGTATTATAGTCAAAAGAGGCTCCTATAGGTTCATCTTCGGATGGAATTTTGGCAAAGGTTTAAAATAGAGGCAGATTCTTGATCGAGTGTGACTGAAGATCTAGAGTGTAGTAGATAGCTTTATGATGAGATAGATGAGCTGACTTCTTTTAAACTCATGATAGAGCCGCCAGGGACAAAGTGGTAGATAGTGTCACTAAACCTAATTAGGAAAGGATGATCTCCCTGAAATCTAATTTATTCTCACTAGGTGGAAAAACCACGAATTTCTACAACAATGCCACGCATAATCATGGCGATTTCACTGTCCCACCGAGCTACACCATATCGGATATTGGATATTTGATTGGTCACTTTTTGATTTTATAAATAGTTTAGCATCATAAGTCTCTATAGTTCCCTGTGCCGAATCGAGAACTGTTATCCCAGAATATATACTGAGAAGTAGTGTTAGAAAAGGAAATCGTGCTAGTACTTTGCACGAAGAAGAAATATAATTATAGCAAGCTATAATGAGTGAAGTTACGGAAAATTTGAAGGAATGAATGTAAACCTCAGGTCAGACTGCTGTTCATTATAAGCCACGATACTCTGCGAACAAGTGCAGTCAAACCGCCTATACAACTCAGCCAATAGGCCCAACCCTGACGACATGCCTAGCAAGGTCAGCCCGTGGATTTCATGATAAAAAAATAGAAAGAATCAGACTGAAGGGAGCAACCATTCACGAGAGAAATGGCCTTAAAAAAAGGGCAGGAAGCTGGTTAGGGATCGGTGGCATAAATGGGGCCATCTGAAGACCGCGTCCTGTGTGCTCATATTAGGGCCGAAAAGGAAAATATCGTCTCTTTGACACTGGCCATGTGTTGGGTAACTTGACGAGTCCCTTTTACGCTTCTGTTCACCCTTCTGGCTCTTACTAGGGCCGCCTTGATCATCCTGGCTCTTGCTGGGGCTGGCTTGGTCGCTACCACTGACCTCAACTTTCCAGAAATATGCCCGCTGCAGACTTTTCAGTTGATTATATGTGCGTTCATCAGAGGACCAAAATTCAAAAGCCGAGGCCGTCGACATAAAAGCATGTCGCAATGTTGCGACCGGGGCTCCCGGCCACTGACGAGGTTCAAGAACAATTTGCGGCAAAAAGTCCGGCGCAATGAAATGTTTCACGCAGATTCGTTGATAAAGCCCGTGTATATTTGTCTCATCGTCATTATAGTACTGAGTGAATTTGCTGCGGCAATGTGCGGAATATTCCGTACTAGTAGGCACAATTCGCTGTCTGCCCCAAGCTTTCCGTTGTTCTTTATCTCTGGCCTCAAAGTCTAGGAAAAAACTGCACAACGATAGGGATAATTAGGAGGCCGGGATCACTCAGGCAGTCATATTGGTAGTAACATGTAGCACATAACGGTAATGCGTTAGCCGCTGAACGAGGGCTAAAGTTGTCAGATCGAGCTCGGACCAGCGCGTGATCTGATCAGACATATTATTTCGACTTATCTAAAATAATAGTAGAGCATATCACCGTACCTTCTTGTCCTTTTTTCCGAAGATATGGGCAATCTGAGGGTCGGGGCTACCACAGACCCAGCAGCGGTCGCCGCAAGCTTGGCGGGCCTCAATCTGGACCTTCTCTGAAAAGTCTCCCGACTGTGCTGATGGTGTGGAGGATCTGAGTGATGCAGCCGTGCGTGATTTGACAGACGACGACATTTTCTAAAATCGAACTGTCTTCTTGATTGGCGTCATGGTCAGCGATTAGAACTGAAATATAGGAAGCATGTCAACTTACAAGATCTAGAAGCGACTAGATTCCTCAGCGGTTGGCTGAGGCCGCTCCTTCCTTGAGAAGAAGCTAGGTGAAGCAGTCGCGGAGTTGATTGTGATGACGGAGTATATAGATAACTTCTGGCAAGGGAATTGTGGGCTAAGCCTAGTCTGGCATGGTTTGTTGGGTTTGCATTACCCACTTTGTATTACTATTTAACGATTGGCCAGTCTAAATCCGTCTATTTGACAACTTCAAGGTGTTATGTAATGAGTAATTTGTTTCATTCAATAGACTCGATTGAAGATACCACCTTTACAACGATTTCGGCCTCGAAGAATGTAACGGCATAAGTTATGGTGTATAGTCATTGACTTAAAAAGGCAGAGCGGGGAGTCTGCAAGGGGTGGATCCACAGACTGACTCTAATTGGACTTCTTAGCGAGTCCCGGGCCGATCCCGTACTTAGTACAGCATAACAAGTTAACTAAGTGGGTACATAAACGAGAATTGATTCTTAGCCCAAACCAATAAAATCAAACCAACTGTAAGTTTAACGGCACAACATGTTATGGGAAACATTACACTGAGTAGGAAGGATTGGGAATCCATAAGGACCAGAATGACAGAGATGTGGGAGAACCGTTTGCTCCTGAGCCAGGGAGTTTGGGTCGAAAAGCTAGAAAAGTGGGTCAAATGATCCTTATGGTTAGTTGTTGATCCAGTCGCGTGTGTTCTACTTTATATAGGTCGAGTGATTTATTACCCAACGGCCAGGATTATGGAATGCGTATCAATAAACTTCCAGCGACATTTCGAAACTTTGGAGAACAATTTCCCAATGGTCCTGAAGCTCGTGGGCTGGGAAATAGCCCTTCAGACTTAGTCTGTTGACAGTATACCAAAGTAGCTATATTCGAAACTATGACGGGGTTCCAGAGTTTCATACTATAGCTTAAGTGATCTAACTTTCATTTAGGCTCCATTTTAAGTGAATTCATGATGTATTTTTGAGACGAAATTTCCAAGTAAGTTTGTAGAAATTTTAATGATTTAATTCCGCAGCGTACACTTTGTATATTTGAAGAATTATATGATTAGCTAGATTATTCTAGTCACAGATCCTTGGGGCTGAAAGTTTTCATCCTTACATAGAGTCATTCCACTCACCTTAGAAGGCTATAAATAATTATCAGTAGCTGATATATAAATTGTGCCTAAGTGGGCAGTGAGACAAATTTCATTCAATCTGCTAGAATGTTATCTAGATACTTGGTGGGATTCCTTCTGGCTGCCTCTGCGCTAGCCTCTCCCAAATACACTTATAAAAGAGCTATTGAAAAACGTGCAAGCCCAAAAGTCGAGGGATACACTAAGCGAGAAACATCCCAGATTCATGATGCATTTGGAGATGCTATGAAAATCGCAAAATCCGTTCTGACTACAAAAGCCGATATTGTCGACCCTATTTTCAACAAATACTTCCTTCCATCGCATCGCAAAGATGTATTTGGTTAGTCTTCAGAACTAAAAAAACAATTATGCCTGCCTTAAGCTAACGAAACTGATATGAAGACGTCTTCGAAAAGATTACTGGTGGAGAATCCGCAGGATATTCCGGCAATTCTATTCTAAATCAGATGACTATTGTCGCTGATTATGAAAAAGATGGTGAATATGCTTGCGATGGCAGTGCTGATGCAGAGCTACGTGATTGGGAAACTAAAAGCCCTAAATTGGTGCTTTGTGAGTACGGGTTTTTGTATGGTGGAATTGATAAAGGATATCCCAAATTTGGCGATGAGCCTGAAGTGGATTCTATAACTTGCAGCAGTATTCGAAAAAGTGGGAATAAAGTCAGTACTTTTAGTATGAACACATTGGGTTCCACGCTGCTCCATGAGTGAGTTACCCTTATATCCCCTTGTCCGAATACAAACTGATACAGAAAGTAGATATACTCATTGGAAGACGTTGGTGGCGCCTCCATTGAGTAAACCAACAGAGGATTATGGTTATGGACCTTTTGAAACTCAGCACTTGCCTTCAAATGTTAAACTATTCAATGCTGATAACTACAACTGGTTTGCGACCGAGTTATTTTGGACTGTGGAATGCGGTCATAAATTTGGAGCCGCAGATGATTGTTAAGTGATAAAGTAAATCCTATGCCCATGCGAGGAATAAACATCATATCTCAACAACATCGACTTCGACAAGTTTCAAATAATCGTCATATATAAAGATAAGAGTCCACATGAAGAATTAATTCACTTTAAGTAAGATGGACTGATTATGGCAATGCCATAAATTGCATCGTAAGAGTTCAGTCATATGGTTCACAGTATGGACGATCCATCAAAAAAATTCAACACTGTAAGCCACATTTCTGGCTCATGATGGGTTATTATTAAGTCCACGAGCCTCTTTCCATTATAACTGGTCGCAGTAAGAACTTAAATAACATAATGGAAAATTTGATAATAATGGTCGCTTTCCGCGGATTCTAATCGACAGGAACGTGTATCTTGAGCTAGTTATCTATGACTACTGTCGCGGGATAATTTGGATCGCCAAGTCGAAGCAGCATTTGTCTATGGCCTTCGAAAAAATCGCCCTCGAACACGTTTAAAGAAGCTTCGGTGCCTGCAGCGTTCAGTGCCGCGGCCAGCTCGACTGCCTGGCGAACGTCACCCTGCTTCAGGACATGAAGGAGCAAAAAAGCCTGGGCATTCAGTGCACGGGCATAGCAAGTAGGTGACATAGCGCGTAGTCGCTCCGGGTCGCTATCCAGCCCGAAGATAGTATTCTCCGCTATTTGCCCAGGACTATCAATGATCTCCGCGAGTGCATTATAATTTGAGCCATCTAGAGATACAGCGGCCCGTACAATACTGATATTGATTCCTGCTCGCTCCAGGTAGCTCGAGTCGGTCCCAAGTAAGGTAACAACATGTGCGCCGGAACTATGTCCCATAGGAATGACCCGCTCGAGATCAAATTCAAGTCTGGCGGCGTTATCAGTCAGGTATGCTAACGAGTTAACCACCTCCTGTATCTGTTGCTCCACAGTCACAAGAGGAATGAGGGTATAGTTGATAGTGGCGAAGGCATAGCCCTTCTGGGTCAAATGATTAACCTTTAGGGAACCAACCGAGTCCAAATATGTCCCTGATCGCCAACTACCGCCATGAACAAAGATGATAATTGGAGCTTTAGCTGTTGATTTGGTCTTCCAATAGCGGAGTTGCTGGGCATCTTCGTTCCCATATGCCATGTCCAGGCCCCAGTGGGCTGGTCTGTGTTCATTTCTGACATGAGCTCCTCTGCCCTGGCTACCGTGATGTCGTCTGAGGTCTTTTGGTAGATCTCCAAGCCTGTGATTTCATTGCCTCTAGCTGCTATAGCGATAGGTGTGAGATCAGGAACTGTCGGTGGATCAACCGCTTGTGCGGCCGCGAAACTGCTATCGGTATACATGGTCAAGATCGACAAAGTTGAGGAAGACAAGCAAGCGACACTGTTTGAACATAAGTAATGCGACTGGGGAAACGTATTGTATGATTCTTAATCAAAAGAGTTGCAAAGTAATTGAAACTCGAATATACAGTGATGACCGCTGCATGTGGTAAATTAGAACGGAGAGTCAACGAGATTCTCAGCGTTTTATATTACAGATGTCCTCATCACCTAAGCCTGACTCAGCGCGCCGTCTAGGCAGCCTAGTGTGCGCGGTACGATAGTGAATATGTCACTTCGATGATAAGGATCTTTGTAGCTGATAAACCGATTCCGACGGAAGGAGCACTGGCGTTTCTTGGCGAGAAACATATATGAGTTGCCGAAGACAGCTTTCGGGGCCTTTCAGGATACATAAATGATAAGCCGTGCACTAGTTTCGAGAATTTGCTGAAGGCTGTCATCTGATTGTCTGAATATCGACACTGAGGCTCGTTCATTAGTCCAATCTGATTGGATCAACCGAGCTGCGATGCGATTGGACGAGAAGAGCGAGGATCAGATTGTATCTAGAATAGAACTACCACTTCACAACCAGAGTTACATACCTACCTAATTAGGAAAAGTTAGTAGTTTTCGATCTATATAGTTGTAACTAGGTATATGTAACGGGTCGATACCCGATGAAATGCCCAGTCTCTGGAGAGACTGGGCTCCTGGCATCTGTTCGGAGCCGGACGAGCCATAAGAGCATCTGGTCCCAGAACCCCTTTCCCTTCCTTAGTTAATCCTTTTCGTTCATCAATCGGATCTTTACAGCGTACAAATTCTTGCACTAATCCCGTAACACGTCCCATCTTACGCCACAATTTGATCAATTATGCGCTAAAAATAAGATAATCTTCCTGTATGCCTCCGCATACCTCTCATCTACAGCAGCCTCTTGATGTAGGCTGCTTTTCGGTACGAAAAAGGGTATACGGGAGGCTAATTAGAGCTGAAATCTGGATTGGCTTGAATTTAATTAAGGGTAGTGTTAGTGATTCGAATCTACCTTAAAAATCGAGCTCTATGATTAAAAAGGAACTAGATTTATCTTTTGGATGAGGAATCTGTGGCCATACCTGTTCCACACGTGTTAAATAGCTTGTTTTCATATAATTATGTTGTTAAATTTGATGTTCCGTAGTAGTGGACTACTTAGGGTCTGGTCTATCTTCAAGCCCATAATCCCCGCTAATTGATGGCTGGTAGTGACGGACAATGCGCAAATCTGGCTTCCCCGTGAAACAAGCCATAGCACCGAGCGGAACTCGGTCGTTCTCGATAAATAGTGATTGTTCAGCCCCCATGAACACCGTAATTACTTCAAAGCCCTCTTTACGGGTCCACAGAGGGAAACAATGCGGTACTGTATTCGAGGCCCTCTGCATAAGGAGCAAGCGTCTTCCGAGAGACTGCAAGCTCAAATGTCTGTTAAAAAAGGGCTAGTAGACATCAAATTGTGTATAAAAACAAATGTTTACAGTGCTTGTGAAGTTCAACCCCGCTTCCGTGGACGTAGCCGATAATCCTGCCCCCGTGAGAAGGCGACTTGGCCTATATTTGGAGACAACGACCGTGATCTCCTCCGAGTGTTGATTCATCGCCCACACACAAGGAGGTGCCCTTTTCATCGTTCAGACTAATCCACCAATATATCCCTACAAGAATAAATCAGCAAAATTAAGTGAAAAGCATTTGCCTTCTTACTTTTGGCGTTGGCTCAGTCCTTGGAGGATAGCGGGGTAATTCTATCACACCTGGCACTGTTTCTGGTTCTGGCAGATCAAAGGCGATGATCAAATCTCTTGCATTATCATCTTTATCATCTTTATCATTTTCATCATTTTTCCAGAACGCCTTACCATGATTTTCCATTTTGTAAGAAGCTAATAGGTTTTGTGGGAAAGAGGGAAGTGGTGCTTTTAATTATGGTAGGTGAAATGCGCAAGTTATATAATGAAATGTCACGCGACACTAGAGGTCATAATCTCATCTCAGGAATGCTGGTGCTGGCCTGGCCAAAGAGCGGCTGCCAGATGATAAACCAGCGCGGGCAACTATAGATGCTGTTACCCTACCCGACCTTCAAAAAATGCGTGCCATTCTATCACTGGGCAAATAGGGTAGAAAATTTTCAGGTCAATGAAATAGCTAGGATTAGATGAGGATTTCCTGTCCGGTTTTCTCGTGATATATGGAAAACGATCTTGGACAACTCCTCCATTTAACTATATCCTGCCTAGACCTCCACCCTCTCTGATGAAGGAACCCACGGTCGGGTATCCTTTAATTCTTGATCGTTCATCCTATATCCTATGTCTACCCTGTCATCTAACAGAATACTCTATGACGATAGAAGGACATGCTGTCTGCGGAGTCAAGGAACCGCGTCATTAAACACTCTTTTCCGACCGAAGCCATCGCTAACGCCTAGCCATCGCTTCCGACCGATAACTTGACGCCAAATACCCTTATACACTAGGGATTCCTGGCTCAGAAGGACTGCTCATAGCAATATGTTAAGATTCTAGCTTCTATGATGCTGTTGAAGCTAAAGGGTGACTGTGTCTCGTTTGAAGAACAAAATGCTCCAACAAAGAAAGTGCAGGGAATCATTTCGAATCCCATGATCGTTTGCTTATTTTTACTGGCCTCGCCACCGAGAGCGAGACCCAATGTACTGTGGGATTGTAGGGCTTAGGCGGAAGGTCTTTCTTGGTTTGTTGACTAAAGATTTGTTGTCCTTGTTACATCAGAGGAGTAGTTCTTTTCGCGCGGCCTTTGAGCCAGCCAGGCGGTCAAAACCTGTGTTGCAGATCGAGTCTTCGAGGAAAAAAGATGTGTCGTGTGAACAGCACCTGAGTTTCATTCATAAGTGCGTGCCGTTCAATTCGACAACATTAGGAAAATGTGTTGGGTGTAGATAAAAAGAGCCTCATCAAGACCAGGCATCAAGCTCAAGACCTAGGAGCGTCAGTCGCCAATACTCAAGTGCCATAATGAACAAATGACGCCCAGGTATTTGGTTCCTCCTGCTGGCTGATTTGGAGCACAGCCGCGTGCAGTGCTTCGGCGATTACTTTTTGAGTGTGAAATTCGCTGGTGTGCTGAGCCAGGTGTCGATAGAAATGATATGCCACATCTGCATAAACAGCATCATTCACCGTCCACGGAGAGGTAATAACATGCCTAAAGCCGGCCACCTGAAACGCGCTAGCCAGATGAATCGCCTCGTCCGTAAATTTGGTTGCGGCATCCTCAGCGGTGGAGCATGCAGATAAGAAGGCGACACGTGCACGGCGAAAAATTAAATCCAAGATTTGCTGCACCGTGAGTCGATCGACTGACTAGCCGGACGGGCTATCTTTCTGGAGGAGAAGATGGCTTTCAGACGGGTTAATGGGGTTAGAAGAGCCGTGACACGCAAAGTGGATAATGTCAATACCACGAATAGTCTCTATCGCCGCCGCAGATCCTGGATGCGACTACACCTTGGTGGTGAAGACTAAACCGGCCGCGTTTTCAATCGCCTTAATCTCAGGCACGATACCAGGAAGCGGTATTTCGCCTGGTGTGGTGGGCATAGCTATAATGGCTACCGAAATATTATTGTTCCGGGCGGTTTTCTTCGATAGTTGGGACCGTGAATAGGCGAGTGCTTTGATACTAGGCGTGTATGATGATATAGCACGGTCCATAGTATTTTGACCTAGGTCGCGGTGACGTCTAGCAGCATGGAATGGAAGTGAGCTAGCTGTACCAGTTCCTATCCACTAGATGCGATACAGCTTCTTCGGCGGAGGGGAAGCTGTATGAGTAGTAATGAATTCCAAAATTGGCTCGACATAAGAGTCCTATAGCCAGGAAAGGGCATCAGGATCATAGTATGACTCGGCAAGTCTGACGCCTGGATGTTGTATTTCTAGCTCAGTTTGGATGTCGCGCGGACCACGCTGGCCCTGGGCCTTGAATCGGCGAAGTAAACCTTCTAATATAAAGTAGGATAGAGCACGCAGAGATGGTAGATTGATAGAGTAAATCCCACTTTCTAAGACGACGGCTGCATGACTGCCAAAGTCAGTGATGTTGATAGCGACCACCGGGCCATCGGCAGCTTGGGAAGTCAGGTCTGGAACAGTTGGCTCTGACAGAAGCTGCTTGTATCCTGGCTGTCGACGAATGGATTATAGACAGAAATCTAGCTAGCGGGGAGCATTTTTCTTTTCCTCAAGTAGTCGTGCACTTTCCGAGGGATCCGCGGACTGTATAGGCCACGATAAAATGAATGGAAGGTGATCATACTCACTAGCTAGGCGAGGATGCTCGGTATGTAGCTGATTCGCATGCGTTCGACTATCAATAATAGCCTAGGATCAGACCGCGGCCGAAATCAAGATTCTGAAGGGCTTTGTCGGCTTGATTTTGGTGGTGGTAGATAGTGCAGATATCTGCAGCAAGACCTGCGGTCTAGGTTATCGCGTATTGCTGATCCTCACGGCTAAGATGATGGCCATAAATAAGGGGCAGAAGGGGGGGGGGGTAGTCTGCTTTGCGATTGAGGAGGCTTCTTGCCAGCGGTTGTGGCTCACTAAAAAGCGGAGGAGTCGGCGAGCGGCTACGACACGGGTAGATGGCAAAGCATTGGCGAGCAGGGTAGCGATAGAAAGATTCTCGAGTGAAGCTTCGAAATTCTCGAGATTGCGCGTTCGATCATATCGACTGGACAGATGATTAGATAGATTAATTAGACGACCGGCGCTGTTAGGATGATCGAGTGGAGTAGAAGCTACGGCATTCTGAACCCGGGTGATGGCAGCTTCGAGATCATCAAGATTGCCTGTTCGCTCATATCGATAAGCGAGATGAGCAGACAGATTGTTCAGACAACCGGCGCGGCCAGGATGATCGAGTAGAGTTGCAGCCACGGCCTCCTGTGCCCAGCTGATAGCAGCTTCGAGATCATCGACATTTCCTGTTCTAGCATATCGCCTAGATATACAAGAAGACAGGTTACTTAGACGATGTGCGCGGTCAGGATGATAGAGTGGAGTAGCCTTCACAGCGTCCTGTTCCCAGGTGATAGCAGCTTCGAGATCATCAACATTTCCCGTTCGATTATATCGACTGGATATATGAGCGGACAGGTTGCTGAGACGACCTAGGCGGTCAGTATGATCGAATGGAGTGGCGGCCACGGCCTTCTGTGCCCAGCTGATAGCAGCTTCGAGATCATCAACATTTCCCGCTCGATCATATAGTTTGAACAGACAATTAGACAGGTTATTTAGGTAAAGTGCGTAGCTAGGATGATCGGGTGGAGTGGCGGCCACGGCATCCTGAGCCCGGCCGATAGTAGCTTTGAGATTTTCAACATTCCCCGTTCGATCAGATTGTTTGAACATATAATTAGACAGATTACTTAGATAAGCTGCGTGGTCAGGATGGTCGAGTGGAGTGGCAGTCACGGCCTCCTGCGCCCAGCTGATAGCAGCTTCGAGATCATCGACATTTCCCGTTCGATCATATTGACAGGAGAGATGATTAGATAGATTGCTCAGATAAGTGGCGCGGTCAGGAGTATCGAGTGGAGTTGCAGCCACAGCCTCCTGTGCCCAACTGATATAGTCATTCTCAAAATCGGTCTGACCTTCAAGCACACTTTGATTATTCTTCGGCCCCACTGCCAAGAACTTAGCGTGAAAGTATTATTGAGCCAACTACATTTTTCTGAGGACAACCGTAATTTTCTTATTACAGATTATGAATTATATTGTTTTCTTGTCTATGCAATTATTTTACTCAGATACTGAGTTCCTGAGACAACTTATTTGATGATTTACATTTAGGTGCAGCAGATTAACAGAACTAAGAAATGTTTCCATCCTTCTGCCAATGTAATGAAAGTCCTATCTAAAAAAAGCAAACTGCGAAAGACTAGCGCTCAAGTTTCTGCTGCTGTCTTAATTAGCCAGCACAGAATGAGATTTGATCAGTTCTTTGTGAAAAAATAATTGAAAGGAAGATAAATCAAAACGAATAGCAAGATGTATTTGATGAAATGGTTAAACAGAAGAGAGGCGAAGACCGTACCAGAGACAGGATAGTTCACCTGTGAGCTTGCTGCACCAGCCTCATTACCTCTGATCTCAAGGTGGCTGACGGCCTTCCACTCATCTTCACCGATTGGCCCGTTGATCTGGAGCGCTTGTAAGCGCGTTAAATTGCCAACAATGATTCGAGAAGTCCCACCATTGGGACTTGAAACGCCCATCTTACGTAGGTCGTCTGGGTCCAGAACAACTGTACCATCTTCTGTTTATAGTTTAGTATACATATAAGTTATGAGCTAACTTTAAGATACGTACCTCGTCGAGGTTGATCCTTTATCAAACTAGCAATTTTCAATCCTTGTCCGTCACCAAGTGACTCTCGTATAGTCTGATCAAGCTGCATGATCTTTGCTGTGTTGGCTATAATGTTGCTTTGGCCATCACGTGTTATTCCGACAGCAGCAACCTGAATATATATAAAGATATTTGCCTTCACGGCAGTCATGCTTTCAGAAATGCTTTTGAGCTTCTTCTCGTCTCGTGATCCGCTGGTTAGCTGATGAGCGATCTGTCGTGGAACAGACTTCTCCTGCGGATCTAGTAGCTTCAGAAACGTGAGAAGATTCTGCGACAGATCTTTCATTTTTGCTAGCTCAGATGACATAGCTGCCGTATGGAGGCACTGTTCATTATGAACAACCTGTATGACATTTTGAGTACCCTGCAGCTCTTCATGGTGCCCTTCCAACAAGCTCAGTTGAGTCTGTTGGCGTGAGTAAGCATCCCTGAGTCGACTGATGATACCAATTGATGTTTCAAGGAAGGCCAGGATAGCAGCTGTGACAGATAGAGGGTCCTTTTGTTAGAGTAAGCAAGGCTCTAAGTTGAAAATTCCTCGTCCACTAACCATGATGATGATGGTGGATAGAACAATAGATTTGTTATAAACAAAGGCTCGAATCGGTCCCTCTTTAGCACCAGAGAGAGCAGTCTACGGGAGGGTTGACAGAGAATTAGATGAATTCCGCGACTCTAGATAAAGTAATGTAACTTTTTTAGTAATTGTGAGGGTTTGCAAATTTATGTAGCTAGAACGGTATCAATTGTTGACGAATTGTAACCAAGCAGATAGGCTTATTCTGCACCAAGAAACATACAAAGATCGTAGCGCTTATATATGACGTGTCATACATCGATCTGCTTGCCCTTGACTAGTCAGGATTTGTGTCTTTCCTTGGCGCTCCTATAAATAAATATGCATTAAGTTGATTTTCAAATGTGACCACACCCGCTTTAGCTCGGTTTTCATAAACCCTGTAAGTGCCAATCATAGTTAAAGTAGTAGCATAAGCAGATGCACGATAAGAGAGAGCAGAACTTATTTTAAAGCGTATATATGACGTGTACATCATTTGGGTTGACTCGAATTTGTCGAAATGAAATTCCCCTCCCAGTCTTCAGCCCCCCCCCCCCCCCCCCATCTAGGCTAAAAAGAATTTGAAGCGGGAAGCACAAACCTCTTCCCTCACTTCCTAAAGAGAATTCTTTTTGCGACCTCAAAATCCTTTATAGTACCTAGTTTGATCAAGTTTTCCGGACGCTTAAAGTCAACTGATGTGAAATACGGCCTTTTCAATGGATGTGTATCATCACAATATAAGCCACAACATTGCTCAGCCTTTCGCGGCTCAGATTAATGGGAATATCAATATTGGTGGTAAGTTATATAATTTCCTTAAAGAATCCTTAATTGATCCATGATAGCGAACAAAACCACCAACGAAAAGATCAAGGGAGCTCTACTCTTAAAAATCGGCCCTACTCCCCGGAAAAAAGACGTCAATCCTCAAACCTGTAAATGGCTCCAAAACATTGATACTTTCCAACAATGGATCGGCGACCAAACAAGCCACGGCTTACTCTGGATTTTAGGTGGTCCCGGGAAGGGGAAGACTTATCTTTCCACAAGTTTGATTTCTCAACTAGGAAGGACCTCTCCGATGGTACTGAGTTACTTTTGCGACACAAGAAACATCATGCGTTCTACGGAGCTTGCTGTTGTTCTAAGCCTTTTGAACCAGCTCTTGGAGCTCGAAAATTCCGAGGAATTATACCCGGTGATCTCAAATAAGTTCTTTGGCATAGAACAAGATCTTTTGAGTGACGACTATATCTCAGATCTCTGGGATTGTCTCGAGAAGATGATACAGAAGAAAGCCCATAGCAATCGGGTTTACCTTGTGCTAGATGGACTAGATGAATGTGATAGCCGTTCAAGGAGCCACTTAACGGCTCAATTAAGAAAGCTATGTGACGACCGAAATTGGCAAGAAAGAAATAATACCGTCAAAATTGTCATCTTTAGCCGCCCGCTGAAGATGCATCATCAAGAGAATCTAATAATTGATCTCCATACAGATAAGTGTCTACAATGGACTAAAAGAGACATTTGGGCTATTGTGAGTGAAGACTGCTCGCTCAAAGAAGAAGTAAAGAAACGTGAATTCTGTGATATCTTAACCAAACGAGCCAACGGTACTTTTCTATGGGTGGCTTTGGCAATCTCCCTTCTAAAGGATACGGAGACTCAGCAACGAATAGTTGATGGAGATTCCGCATTCCTTGAAACGCTACTTCCATTTGGGTTAGATGCAATGTACATCAGGATGCTTTCTGATATACTTGAGCATCTACAAGGAAAGTCTATATTCAATGAAATGATGGAGATCTTCAGATGCCTGATCGTTTCACTACGTCCACTAACGAGGGAAGAGCTGGGCGCTTTTACTACATCTAGCCGCTTTATAATCGACGAAGCCCTTGATAACACTTTTAAGCACATTCTTTCGATCGTGACAGATGACTCTGGGGATCAGGCATTTGAGTTGATTCATCTCTCTCTGAAAGAATTCCTCCTACAGAACTCATCAAGCCTGATATCTGAGGAGGTGTGCTGGTCGGTCTCGCCGATTCTGCTCTCTATAGCGAGCTGGCTACGTGAACGTCACTTCAAGCTATGGTGGTTGGATTATGCTATATTAACAACTGTGGCTATTTGCCTCCGAGGACTCGTACAGCAACTTGGGCTCATATTCGGTTTCTTTTCCGTGGTATATTTACAAACGCTCTCTCGAAAACAAAGACCCTCGTTGCTAATAGGCTTACTTCATAAAGCCCTCAGACAATCTATCAGTAAAGCCATCGGAATCATCTTTTATATTCACGAGAGACAAATGCATGATTTCATGTTTGAAAGATGTCTCAAATTGATGAACGATGTGGGCAAAGGCCTTAAACGGGATATTTGTGATGCTGAAGATCGATACCATGGTCAAAACAATACAGCGATAAAAGAGAGGTGCCGCCGGGTCCGATATCCTAGCCGTTATTGGGTACGCCATCTCGAACGAAGCGATGCGAGTTCACGTGTAACAGAAAAAGTCTACATCTTTCTGAAACAACACTTGCTTCATTGGTTAGAGGCTATGAGCATCTTTGGGTTTAGTTCTGAGTCTATAGAGGCGCTGGAAACTTTGCAGGAGATCATCGGAGTAAGTCATTAAAAAATGATTAGGATATGCACACTAATAAGGATTATAGAATGAATCAGTAAAGGAAGTATCAGAATTTTTTACTGATTCCCGGCGTTTTGTTTTGAAGTTCGGACATATTGCTGGAAATGCACCACTTCAACTATACTACGCGGGACTGGTGTTTGCTCCCATGAAATCTATCATAAAAGAAAATTTTCGTAAAGAGAGACATTGGATAGGCGCATTATCAGATGTCGAGGAATCCTGGAGTGCGGAACTACAGATACTTGAGGGCCATTCTGGCTACATTCTCTCAGTGGTGTTCTCCCCCGACGGTCGAACACTAGCCTCAGGCTCAAGCGACAATACTATCAGGCTTTGGGATACGGTAACTGGCCAAGAGCGACAGACCCTTGAAGGCCATTCTGATTGGATTATGTCAGTGGTGTTCTCCCCCGACGGTCGAACAATAGCTTCAGGCTCATACGACAAGACTATCAGGCTCTGGGATACGGCAACTGGCCAAGAGCGACAGACCCTTAAGGGCCATTCTAGGGAAATTAACTCAGTGGTATTCTCTCCCGACGGTCGAACAATAGCTTCAGGCTCATACGACAAGACTATCAGGCTCTGGGATATAGCAACTTGCCAAGAGCGACAGACCCTTAAGGGCCATTCTAATATAATTCTCTCAGTGGTGTTCTCCCCCAACGGTCGAACACTAGCCTCAGGCTCACGCGACAAGACTATCAGGCTCTGGGATACGGCAAATGGCCAAGAGCGACAGACGCTTGAGGGCCATTCTAGGGAAATTAACTCAGTAGTGTTCTCCCCCGACGGTCGAACACTAGCCTCAGGCTCACACGATAAGACTATCAGGCTCTGGGATACGGCAGCTGGTCAAGAGCGACAGACGCTTGAGGGCCATTCTGGCTACATTAACTCAGTGGTGTTCTCCCCCGACGGTCGAACAATAGCCTCAGGCTCATACGACAAGACTATCAGGCTCTGGGATACGGCAACTTGCCAAGAGCGACAGACCCTTAAGGGCCATTCTAATATAATTCTCTCAGTGGTGTTCTCCCCCGACGGTCGAACACTAGCCTCAGGCTTAAGCGACAAGACTATCAGGCTCTGGGATACGGCAACTGACCAAGAGCGACAGACCCTTGAGGGTCATTCTGATTGGATTATGTCAGTGGTGTTCTCCCCCGACGGTCGAACACTAGCCTCAGGCTCACGCGATAAGACTATCAGGCTCTGGGATACGGCAACTGGCCAAGAGCGACAGATCCTTAAGGGCCATTCTGATGAAATTCTCTCAGTGGTGTTTTCCCCCGACGGTCGAGCACTAGCCTCAGCCTTACACGACAATACTATCAGGCTCTGGGATACAGCAACTGGCCAAGAGCCAAAGACTCTCAAGGGCCATTCTAGGGAAATTATGTCAGTGGTGTTCTCCCCCGACGGTCGAACAATAGCCTCAGGCTCACACGACAAGACTATCAGGCTCTGGGATACAGCAACTGGCCAAGAGCGACAGATCCTTAAGGGCCATTCTGATAAAATTAACTCAGTGGTGTTCTCCCCCGACGGTCGGACACTAGCCTCAGGCTCCAGCGACGATATAATCAGGCTTTGGGATACGATAACTGGCCAAGAGCAAAAGACCCTTAAGGGCCATTCTGATATAATTATTTCAGTAGTTTTCTCCCCTGACGGTCAAACACTAGCCTCAGGCTCAGGCGACAAGACTATCAGGCTCTGGGATACGGCAACTGGCCAAGAGCGACAGACCCTTAAGGGCTATTCTGGCTACATTAACTCAGTGGTGTTCTCCCCCGACGGTCGAACACTAGCCTCAGGCTCACACGACAAGACTATCAGGCTCTGGGATATAGCAACTGGCCAAGAGCGACAGACCCTTAAGGGCCATTCTGGCTACATTAACTCAGTGGTATTCTCCCCCGACGGTCGAACAATAGCCTCAGGCTCACGCGACAAGACTATCAGGCTCTGGGATACGGCAACTGGCCAAGAGCGACAGACTACTGCGAGCCGACATAGCTTTGCTCAACGAGGAAACCATCAGATATCAATTGCCAATAACTTCATATCCTTCAGAGGTGAGAATATACTGTGGCTGCCCGTTGAGTATCGTGACTTTACAGTTTCAGCTGTAAATGAGAGCACTCTTGCTCTTGGGTACCCCAATGGCCGAGTCTTTATTTTAAGCTTCAGCACATTGATGGAACAAATACTCTGAACCTGCTTTTCTCTCGCTCCATTGACCTTCTTTATCTAATCCCCTGATCCTCTAACCCTGCAAATTTCTCAGTATATAACTTTGTTGCGTGATGCTTGAATATTTCTCTGATGGTTTCTAATTAAAGTTTTATCCGAAATCGTGGAAACAATATACGACGTAACTAGCGTTTAGGGGTGAGAACTCAGACAAACATACTGAATCCATGACACAAGTTGTAACCCCAAACTATGAATAGCTGGCAATTTCGTCAGACAAATCATGTTTAAAGACTCAAATTTATTGAAAAAATCAACTTTGCAGCACGTTCTTCATTGTTTGACACTGCGGTTCTATTCTTCGCTCGCTTTTAGCTGTTTAAGCCATCAACGATTTGCACAGTTATGATGTGATAGAACTTTGGAACGTTTCAATTTTTGCGGATACGTCTTCAATTTGAGTCTCGGGCGGAGAGAATTTGATAAGAAACTGAAGGGTTTTTGATTTTCTCCAGAGATGCCGGTGCTTCAATGATATAGACACAGTACCGGTAAATGGAACTTTTGGATGGTTTTTCCCAATTGTTGCAACTTTGAGAGTCAGAACACCCCGGAAGTAGTAGTAGTGACCACCTCGTATCCATGTCCATGATACTGCTTAAGTAGGACGAGGAAGACATAAAGAGTTGTTAAAGCGCCAGTCAGGCAAACCCATATTTTGGCGCTCACTAACGACACTGCCTAGAGTTTCACCACCTATACTAGTATTTATGCTTGGTGCGAATTCCCTGCGCTGAGTGAACTGTTGCTCGGATCTTGGACTGATTTGCTTCTTGGGTGCGACTTCCGTGAGCGCAAAGTCTGCCGTGTCAGTCTACGTGACAAACAAGGGTTAGTAGGAGTAGGCATCTACCAAATTCTGTGACGGATAAAGACAAATTTTTATAGTAGTTGTGACGTTCAGCCCCGTTCCCATGGGCGTAGCCGATAATCCTGCACTCATAAGAAGTTGACTTGGCCTATATTTAGAGACCACGACTGTAATCTCTTCTGAATGTTGATTCATCACCCACACACAAGGGGGTACCCTTTTCACCATTCGGACCAATCCACCAATGTATCCCTATAAGAACAAATGGTCAGCAAAATTTAGTGAAAAGCATTTGCCTTCTTACTTTTGGCGTTGGCTCAGTCCTTGGAGGATAGCGGGGTAATTCTATCACACCTGGCACTGTTTCTGGTTCTGGGAGATCAAAGGCGATGATCAAATCTCTTGCATTATCATCTTTATCATTTTGTAAGAAGCTAATAGGTTTTGTGGGAAAGAGGGAAGTGGTGCAAGCTTTTAATTATGGTAGGTGAAATGTGCAAATTATATAATGAAATATCACGCGGCACTAAGGCTAAGGGCCTGGCTGCATGTTGGTCAAAATTGAGTTAATAATCCCTGCTACGAAACTGCCTTGTTTGGAAGGATTGTAGACCACGCCTCGGCGATGCCGAGTGTCAAGGTGAGACGGAGGCTAGCTAGAAGCTGGCTCAACAACAGGGAGCCCACGAAGCGAGATGCATGATTCACGTACTGTGAAGCAGTACATACACTATGCAGCATGCTAATGCCGGCGGTACTTCAAAACCTGATGTTGACCCGGACATCACTACGGACATCACTCAACACGAAGACTCTACGAAGACTGTCTTAAAGACTCTAAACTTCTCTTACTCCCTTCTACCCAGTCGATCATCTCGGCCGCGCAGAAATGCTAAGAAATCACCTCTTATCTTCTGTCCAATCAATATTAGTTGACAAGCGATCTTGACGATCTCGAAGCTGCCATCAGCCAGGCTCAAGACGCCGTGCATGCTACTCCAGTCGACCATCCCGACCGCGCAGGCCGTTTGAACAAGCTGTCTGTTCATCTATTTAGTCGATATAAGCGAAACAAGCAATCTTGACGATCTCGAAGCTACCATCAGTGTAACGATCTACACTTGCGCTTGTAGACTATTCCACTGAGCCAAAAAGGCTATAAGAATCTTCCGAACGGAAGATTATGCGCAAGTTCCATATATATACCAGCCTTGTAGAACACTGAATTGAGGATAATGCTGGTCGGATCTCCGTACGCCGTTCCATCCACTCTCTCCTGAATAGTGGGAGGTGGTGGAGGAATATAAGGAGGACCTTTGAAATCACTGTAGTAGGGTTCAGAATTTGACATTTTGAATCAAAGAGAGAGGGGTGTAGATAGTGAAGAAAGAATAGATAAACACGACAAATAAAGTAACTACAATAATATAGGCCATACCGTGTCGTTAGGCGGGTAGCGGTAGCTGAAATCCCACGATTCTACCCTGGAAAACCACGCGGTGTTTCCGCCGTCACCTCGACTTACACCATTTCAGACGGGTGGTGAATTACGCTATTAAGTTTAGTCTTATCCATTTCGGCTTAGCGTCATGAGTCTCTACACTAGAGTTATAGGGATGAATGTAAATTGAGTAAAGCTGCTCAATAATCAATCAATATAATCTAGTCCTAGATCATTGTTTCTTAACAATTATGCCGCCTTCAAGAGTAATCCTTAACACACGATAAAGATCGTTGACTGTAATGCCTTTTTCGATGAGCTAGATCCGGAATTTGATGATGACAATAAGATCTCGACATGGTGGAAGGTAATAACTATGGAAAACTTTAAAACGTACGGTCTTCCTCACGGACCCTCTAAGTATTGTACTCCTCAAGATGTAAAAACGACAAATGAAGAACCCGTTCCTATCACCCCTCGGAAAAGGGCCAACTCTTCTGTCTAATATCAACACTTTCATTAAAGGCTACATCCAGAAAGACATAGATGGCATATATAAAACTCTACTCTCTAAGCTGCCTTTATTAGTGTTGAGTGATATTCTTATAGCGGTGGTAGCCATCTATCTACTCATCTATAACAGTCTGTATAAGTTGATGATTGGTCGGTGCTCAAGACTCGAGCTATTCTGGATGAAGGACCTTCGCCGAAAACTCATTCTTAATGATGTATATTATAATAATAAAAAGAGCTAAACATGAAATTGGTACTAAGGTATATGGTTTTGCCTATTCCAACTCAAAAGTCATAAATTTGGTACCCTAAAGGCGGGCACCTTCCATGGTTGCCAATTTTTTGTCTCTGTCACTTGTCTCAATCCCCCATCGCCAAACCACATACAAAACCCCATCGCCAAACCACATACAAAATACATTCATAATGCCTAATCGTCGAGCCGAAGTACTCTCGAGTGATAGTATATACAGTCATGCTTCATACAAAGCACGGGATGCGGACGTCTCCCGCAAGTATCTGGCCGAAGACTTGGAGCAGATGTCAGAATTTGAGGCTCTCAACCGATCCCTCAGCGTCCAAACAACAATCACTACCACCTCCTCATTCTCCAGACGCCACCAATATGCTCGTAATAATCCCAGATTTCAGACTATCAACCAGATTGGTGCAGGTCTTCAGGGAGTAATCTTCGAGCAGGTCGGTTTTCCCACTGCCCTGAAACTGGAGAGTCCTGGAAACGCAACCAAGAAGTCAAACCTACGCCATGAATACAAACTCCATTGTGCAGTATCTGCGGCCTTTGAGATATACAGTCCAATCTTGCAAATCACGATACGGGTTCCCCGTCCACTGGAGTTTATTGCGGCAGAAAATGATGTGTTTTGGTCGAGCATTTTCTCCAAACTCCCTCAACCATACCGTCAACGTGGGGATATTGTGAAGATGGAACGGGTTCTCCCCTTAACAAAGGTTGTTCGCCGAGCTCTGATCACTCGCTTTTCCCCCAAGTCGTCAACTGAAAAGATTGAAGAGCTTCTCAATTGTCCAGAAAACAAGCATTGTTTCGTAAGGCCATATATGGGCAAGCAGAATGGACCAGGACAGTTTTCACTCCGAAACTTTCCACTTTATCTACAGTCAATGGAAGACCTTCACATGGACCTTGATGAACTTGCCACCTCAATGGGCAAGGCATACGCTATAATGCACTGGGGAGCTGGTGTCACTGGTGACGATGTGGAGTTTGTGATCGGAACCTCAACCCAGGAAAGTGTACAGCAATTTCTGCCATCATCATTGTCGGCTTTGTCAGATTTCCACAACCGGGTCACCTCTATTTATCTTCTTGACTTCGGTCAATGTGATGAGGTTAACTTCACGGACGAGCCGGAGGCTGTGTATCAGGCTTTTAAAGCCGCCATGATCCTCGGCGACAATCAACTTTTCATCCCTCATTATCTTAGAACTCCCGGACTGTTTAGAAAGTTCAAGAGCGGGTATAGCCAGGCTGGCAAAATCATACTAGAAGAACGAAATCTGGAAAGTCGATTCAGCATTGAGGACTTCATGCAGGAGTACAAGGAATATTGCGAAGACTTGCTTTAAGTTGCTTCATGTGTGTGTCCGGGATCTTGCTAGTGCAATATGGTTATTGCTCGAGTAATATTGTTATACATCCATAGAAGTCTCACTATTTGCGATTATTCAAGATTGTTGCTCTGGTATGATATCTTCTAGTTTTTCTTATATTGGACTGATTTTCCCTTAGAACCTTAAAAAGGTAGTATTCTGCGGGAATTGCTACATCCACCCCAAAACCAAAAATACGTAAACTTAGTGCTGTGCGCATCGGATTGAAGGTCTATTTGCGCGAAAACACGATATCCATATGTTCTGGAGAATTGGGTTTCAAAGAGAGGCTATAGACTGGATTCCAATACTAGAGCCTTTAATCAAGCCACCTACACTAAAAGAAAAGACAAAAATTGCATTTAGAAGGCCTTATTATCGTCAAAAAGGCAGCTGGAAGGTATTCAAATTGTAATGAAATTGGGCATACTATTAGGACATCTCAGGTGATACGGAAGGTGTAAATAAGGGGCGTTTTACATGCTTATTACTATATTTTGTCTTTATTATACTAGATTTATTATAGCATATTTTATATTGAGTTATTATACTATGTTTTGCAGTAAGAGGAATTGAATTTGATAGATGTAGCAATTCCCTGGATTAATGAAATTAACCCAATTAGAGGACTAGTGAGTAGCCACCTTTCTCACATCATATTTTTGGCTTTCCAGTGTTTCTGGCTTTCCAGTGTTTCTTGATCTACCCTCGCACCACTCTCAGCAATATCCTACGAACAAACTAATACCTATAACCTCCCCTAGATAGACGATTACACTGCCGACCGACCGCTGCTAGAAGTGCTCGGAGATGATCTCTATCACCTATGCAAATCTCTTGAGGAATACGGCATCAGATACTGTATCGCTGGTGATGCTATTGTCAAGACTCTCGGATTTCCCTTGGTCATTTGCGGATTTTATCTTGTGGTCGCAGATGAACAACTTGAAGACGCTTTTAATTTTTTTTCTGGGACAAATTCAGGTATCAAGAGACCATTCAACATATCGAGATGAACATTCTACGGGTTTCCCTCTCGGCTGGCCAGGATATGTGCTATCTAATCCCCACGCCATCGACATTTATCTAGTTCCCTTGAGTTTCTAGTATATTGATCTCTCTGAATCCAGTTTATCGACAAATACATTTGTCGGTTGACTAGGTTATTACCGAAGCAGACAGCTATTGATATCGTTTCTGTACGTATATAATAGGTGTATGCATATTGGGTAAAAGTGAAGTGTCCTTCTAAAATGCTCAGATGAAAGAAGATATAGTAGCTGCCATGCCAAGATCACATGATCTTGGTATGTCAGCTGATATTCGTTCCAACACTGGGCATACTTTAAAGGAGTATACAGGCGGCGGGGTGGCAGGGTCGACCCCGCCACCCTACCACCCGACGAACTTTTCGTCTTATCGGCCAATAAAAACTCTGTATTTCATTTTTTGTGGGTAATATGATACATCATAATAAGTTTGTCGGGGAGCTAAAAAAAAAAGGTCGTCGGGTAGTGGTAAATAGCCATCTTATGTGGTAATATGCAAGATTTGACTTACGGTGCTTCAACCCTACCACCCCGCCACCTAGCTTCAATTTTCGATAATTTACCAGGAATTTGTAAAATGTTTCTTCCTTCATTCAACAATAAAACAGTCAACTCAATTCAGATTTTGATAATATAGATATAATTATTAAAGGAATTCCCAAGAATAATACTTTGGAACTGGTTTTAGGAACTTATTATCATTTTTTGGAGTTTTCATCTAAAATTATAAAATTTCATAACAATATATCTATATCTATATATATATATCTGTAGACTGTATCTATTTACATCTCAGTCCTTGCAAATCGATTCCTATCTTTTACCATCTTTTACTGATCCTTACCATTATTTACTAGACTGAAGATTTAGGTATTTACTTTTTTTGTCTATTTATACTTCTCTATATATATCGCTTAATTTCTAAGAATATGATCTCTCATAATTCAATTTATGAACCCACAAATTCTCTTCTATTTGTACAGATTTCTCTTTTTTTCATTTCTGTTTGCCTTCACTTTCTTAAGAATCTTTATAATTATGGCTGTGAAGGGCTAAAGCTAATCTTGAATTCAGAACTAGCTAGGCACATGCTGTTTACAAAATCCTTGAAGAACGTAAACAATTCGGGGTGGAATCGTGAGGTATGCGGTTGGTGGGTCACGTGGTACAACCACGTGATAGTTCACCAGGATTCAACCTGTTACAATAGTAGTATAATGGTGCTTAGTGATTAGTGCTTAGTGCTTAATATTTTAATTTTAAGGTTTTTGATATCAAGTGATTTAAGAAAAGACTATTTAAGATGTTTATTTTTATACAGATATCCTTAAAATTAAGATTTATAAAGATATTACATTTAATTTGGAAAGATAATAGTTGATATGTTTCAAGAAATCATAAAATCTAGTAAATAATGGTAAGGATCAGTAAAAGATGGTAAAAGATAGGAATCGATTTGTAAGGACTGAGATGTAAATAGATACAGTCTACAGATATATATATATAGATATAGATATATTGTTATGAAATTTTATAATTTTAGATGAAAACTCCAAAAAATGATAATAAGTTCCTAAAACCAGTTCCAAAGTATTATTCTTGGGAATTCCTTTAATAATTATATCTATATTATCAAAATCTGAATTGAGTTGACTGTTTTATTGTTGAATGAAGGAAGAAACATTTTACAAATTCCTGGTAAATTATCGAAAATTGAAGCTAGGTGGCGGGGTGGTAGGGTTGAAGCACCGTAAGTCAAATCTTGCATATTACCACATAAGATGGCTATTTACCACTACCCGACGACCTTTTTTTTTAGCTCCCCGACAAACTTATTATGATGTATCATATTACCCACAAAAAATGAAATACAGAGTTTTTATTGGCCGATAAGACGAAAAGTTCGTTGGGTGGTAGGGTGGCGGGGTCGACCCTGCCACCCCGCCGCCTGTATACTCCTTTAAAGAGGGGTAAAACGCGGTCAACTCATAAAAATCAAAAATATCACAAACTCGCATGGCAGCCCTAAATTCCTATCTTCTGCCTTTAAAATCAATCCGCCCTTCTGGTTCTCTTAATTGGAGCGTTCGACCCATCCGATAGCTTGCAAGTTGACTCGGTTGGTGTCAATCAGTTGCTTTAGCGCGTCGCATGCTTTGCTCTTAGTCATTGCGTCTGCAGGGTTGGAGTTCCCATCAATCCACTTGATTTCGTTGATTTGGCGGCGTTCATATGCCTGTCGGAGGCACATCACGTCGATCATAAGCCTTTTTTCTTGGGTGGAGCTGAGCCGTACGAGGCAGTCGTATAGTGACTTCGAGTCAGTGCAGAGAACGATTGGTATGTTGACTTGTAGTATTTGATCCAGAGTCGACTTGATTGTAAAAGCGATATCTGAGCCGTGAACTATGGCGTAAAGTTCGGATGCTAAAACGCTCCTAGTGATTTGTTTATATTTGATCGAGCTCCAGTGAATGATATTAGCGTTGGCGAAGTTGTCAATCTGGCCGGGTTCTGTGGCCTTGGTGTTATTGATTTAAACGTTCCCCTTATCGGCGAGCACAATGATATAGCCAATTTGTGACGAGAGGTCCTTATTATTGGTAAATGATGCGTCTATAAAGATAAGAAGTTGGAGTGATTCTATGTCTAAATCAACGAACTTGAGTCCTCTGGCAGAATTTTCTCTTTGCTAATTGAGCCGTTTGTTCAGCAACTTATAGTCATCTTTGTCTGGGTGGGTCGCTTAGGCAGCGAATGACAAGTCGAACGCAGCTTCAGGTTGACATACTGAAGCTATATAGGCGCCTCTCGCGCGCTCGGCGATATATTCATCTTTGGTGTTGGCAAGGGAGATCTTATCGCATTGGCCCTTCTACGCAAGGGTGATGCTTCCATCTATTGCCAATTCGATGACTCTACCATTGAATTTCAGTGGATTTTCAATGGTTAGCTGTTCGCGTTCTTTTACCGCGAAGTTTGCCTTTTATAGCTCCTGTTTTTCTGCTTCTATAAATTCGTTATCTATAAGGATAAGAGTATCATCTGTTTGAAGTCCGACGATACCGAATCCTTTCGAATCTGTTATATATAGAAGATATAGGTCAAATGTCGACTAGTTCATTTTCAGGTTTATCGAATGATGACCTTGATATATCTCGAACCAGTGATTTCCGGCTTCAGGGATACCATAGAGCGGTTTAATGACCTTTAGGAGTGTGTTCTTCCCAAGTTGGTCAATCAATTCCCGTGGGGGACGTGCATAAAATTCGCGGTTCAGTATTGTTGTTGACTGGATATACGCCTGGGAGATGTCGCGGAGGTATAGTTGAAGCTTAGGAGTGATACTTTAGCAACTTGCAGCAAGGCAGAGAATCAGTCGTTGGCTGACCCGCTGAATTGTTGGGGATTAGGTCAGGATAAGATCCTTCTCCTGGTCATTATATGCTTATATGACTAGGCGTGATTTCTTAAACACTTGTTCTGTTCCTTTATTCTTGATCTCGTCGACGAATCTTGAATTGAATAGTCGCACATCGGGTGGAGCTTCTATGACGAACTCAAAGACCCCTTTTTCAAGTAACCCGTTGATTTCTTTTTGTCTTGAGTCTCGAAATTGTGCATTAGCGTTATTATCATCTTGTAGGAAGATAGTGATGGGCGGAGTGTGTTTACACGGGCGGCCTGGGCCATGTTTCTGTGCTTATATAGGGGCAGTGATAGGCATAAGGTGCTTACGTGGACGGCCTAGGCCACGCTTCTATGGTTGTGTAGGAGTAGGGGCAAGTTCACGGCCTAGATTAGGCCTTAGGTTTCGGCTAGAGCGATTAGTTGGCTCTAGGGGTTCTAGGGGGAGCTTGGTATCGATATCTGATCTGGTTTGTTCACTTTGGTCTATTCCTTGCGATTCTGGATCCAGATTTTGTG